CCATTCGAAATGTGTTCTTCACTGTCATCAGACTGATTTTGTAAACTATGGGACTGTATTTTATAGTCCTTTGAAGTTGTAGCATCATCATCGTCCACTAGAAATAAATAGTGCTTGTTAAGAAATTGTCATATTCATAATATTTTAAAATAAAGATTTTTAAATAATACTCAATATCAATATTTTATAATAAATATATAAAATTACTGTACCATTTGAAATATGTTGCTCATTATCTTCAGATTGTCCTTCAACTACTATTTCATTGAAATATTTGCTCCTTGATTGTTTAAATTCATTTAATATCAAATAATTATAGTCTTCAGCATCTAAAAATATAATGAATATTAATTAAATAAATTATGATGATAACATTCATAACCAATTGGAAAATGGTTTCACCACTCGTCCTTGCAAAACAATGTTTTTTTTAGCATGTTTTAGAAAAAAAAATATTATTACACACAGAACAATGCTCGAGACACAAGAGATCACTTATTGAAATGTAGTATGAGAGAAAATAATATAGTTACTGGTATTGTGTCTAAACATACAATACTCTCATAAAAACCATATCGTTGTTTGTTTTAAAGTACATTTTACTTGTACCTGTACAAAGATACTTTAATTATAACCTTTGACACTGATAGTATTGCTGTATCTATAGTAAACGTTACCGTAATTTGGATAAATAAACACATAACCCAAGGTTGATATGTGTGCTTGTTTCCCCTTTGTCTCACAAATTCACAGATTTTAGATCAACGGAAAACAAAAACCTGATCAGCTTACCCCATTCATTTTTATTATATTATCGAACGCATTCAGGCTTTTACACACTTGAACACTCCAACTCGACATGATGTTATATGTACATATAGGCAATAAGCAAGAACCATGAATACTTGACGAATGTCAACCGGAATTTGGGACACCAATCTGTCAAACTTCTTATTTAACACGACTCATGTCCCTGCTAGTGAATTAAGATGAACAACGACCCCACATTGTATTTGTCAAGGTTTCTATGCGTGGTGTACAATATAAGTTACAAACAAAATGGAAGTTGGAGTTGTGTGGTAATAAGTAACAGCAAAGCACAGACTAACTTCAAAGAAAAAAAATGAATTATAAGTAAAACCATGATTTTACTGTAAAGTTTAATTAGTACCCTAGTTATATTAGTATATAGGCATAATCTCACTATATGATTTTAAGTTACTTATGCAAGTTTGGCAATTTAGTAAACAATGAATCATAATATATTAATATGCCAAACACCTGAATATCTTTAATAAGAAAAGATACAAGTAGTTTTTAGAAAAATGTTGTAATTTTTTTCTTCAAGATACCACTCTATTTAAAAATTTAAATATAATAAATTATTAACTTTTATTTGAAATAGTAAATCTAAAAATTACAAAAAAAATATATTGCAACTGTTATGTTAGGAAATAACGAACGAAAAAAGCAGGTAAGTGGATGTCGCTCAGCTGTACAGTAAGTTACAAATGGTTTACTGTACTGTAATGGATGGTATTAAATTTGAATTCAATTATATATCATCATTCTAATCGAAAAACAATTCTAAGTGGAGACAGTTTGTCGCCCTAAGGATATTTTATACTATATTAAATATATTGTCATTATTTCCAAAAAAAAAATTTGATAACTATAAAATAAATTCCAAATTTGATTTGATTCATTTGGAATTTATTTTATAGTTACCAATATTTCATTATGTACCCAACTCATTCAGTCATTCATAGTATATATAATATTATACTATAAAGTATTAATATAAGTCTTTAACGACATTATGTATTACAGTTAAAACATAAAGTATACTCTAGATCTAGAAATTTCAAGTACTCRCAAATAATATTTCTAAATTACGACAGTTACAATATGACTAAAATTGTTATTCTTGGATATTTAATATGTAACGTTGTCCAAATATGAACTTAAAATAACTTTGAAAAAAAATTGTATTTGTGTAGTTTTAGATTTATTTTGTTGCAAAATTATTACTTACATGACACCTTGTTAAAAATTGACAATCCTTAGAACCTTAGTTATAATAGTTAAATGTTTTATACATTTCTAACAATTCAATGATTTGTAAATTTTCAATTAAATACATTTTATATATATTTGAACTTTAAACTGTCATAAAAAAAAAAATTACATATGTACGAGTATTCTTAATATTTTTCAACTGATATATCATATCCAATTATCGGAAATCTTGTATTAAATTAATTTTCAATCTTTTTTTACCAAACAAATACAATTTCACAAGAAAAACAAACTAAAATAATAAAAATAAAAATTTGAAATATTTTGAATAACTTATCAAGTATAAAAAAGGCCAATATAAGCATCCAGTGAAAATTWAAAATATTAACGGTAATTTGTCTTAGAGTTACACCAATAACCAAAATTGATTATCTCTAAATTCGGCTTTGCGTAGAAATTCCTGTTTTTCCTTAATTTTTTTGTTTATTTTTCCTGCCGCTTTCGAAAAATATTAGGACCAACATAGTACCAACTGGGTTCAATTTCCTATAAGAAAAGCTACTGAAGTTGATAATTGAAGCATTTTTACTGCCCCAAAACTTAATGATAAACACACGAAAAAAATTTTAAAAAACACACATCGTTGTAAAATCAACATATTCATGGCTTTGATCAAATGTTGACGAATATTTACAAGCTCCGTCAAAATATTACATTCAAACATTGGGTATGGTTGATATTGCTGAATAAAGATTAACAAAATTGAGAAAACAAGAGTCAGTTGATGTTATTTTAGAAGAATCAAAAAAATTTTCAGTTAAAAATGAACTTCATGAAGTAGAATTTCTTGAAATTAGACAAAGAATACGGAAAAGAATGAATGATGAGAATATTTCTGATGAAATTACAAATAATCAAGTGAATTAATTTAGAACAAATGTTATTTTTTGTGTTGATCAAATTAAGGCTTTTTTAACAGTCCGGTTTAAAGATGTTAGCAGGGGTAACCCTAAGTAAATTCGAGCCATAGCCAGACATATCTTGAAAAATTATGATATGACCACTTCATATTGACCATTTTCCTCTCCACGGTATGCCATTTTTGCCGATATTGAGATATATTGGGCCTTTTGAAATATTTTTCTCCCCACTAGATTTTTAGGACTTCTGCGTCACTAGAGATATTTTGAAAGATTTATAATTTTTATAGTAAGAGAGACTTTTAAAAGTAAGCAAAAAAGATAAAGTACCTGAAAATACCTTTGACTCCGAGAGCTAAAATATATTCGGAGAAATTAGATGCTATATGTATTCATTAGAATGGCAAAATAAAGGGTTTTCACATGTTTATATTCTTTTATGGCTTCAGCATCATATTACTTCGGATCAAATCAACAATGATATTCGTGCTGAAATACCTGATCCCAAATCGTTAAATGTAATTTTATTCATGGCCATTGTGACACTTTTAATAAAAGTTCACCATGTATAAAAGATAACACGTGCAATAAACATTATCCCAAAGATCTGATTAAGGAAACTCAAGCTAGTGATGATGGTTATATGAAGTAAAAAATACGTTCACCGGATGACGGTTGATTCTCCGTTAATATCAAAGATGTAGTTATAGATAATCGTTGGGTAGTTCCTTATATTCCTGCACTGTTATGAACACGTAACGCTCACGTCAATGTGGAATATTGAAGTTCGATGAAGTCAATAAAATACGTGTGCAAATACGTAAATAAGGGCTCAGAACAGGTTTTATTTGCCTTAGAAAATGAAAAAGTCGAAATAACTTATAAAAGTGGACGATATTTAAGTTCATCAGAAGCAGTATGGTGAATCCTTTAATTCCCAATCAACGAGTGTTTCCCTACCWTAGTTCATCTTGCATTCCATTTTCCAAATGGACAAAGGGATAACTTTAATGAGAGAAACCTATGACAAAGTGAATAGTTCTCCTACAAGTACACTTCTCTCCTTTTTTGATTTGTTTAAAGTGAATGAATTAGCAAAAAGTTTGCTTTACCCAGAAGTACCTGCATATTACTTTTCGGACAAGAGAAAGTTCCAAAAAAGAAAARAGGTGTAAACGTAACCGGCTGGCCAGATATCAAAAGAGAGCACGTTCTGAGTATAGTTTATAGTGTTTATAGGGTTCATTCGAACAATACAGTTAAAACTATAAATAATAATATAATCTTTATTAGTCTGTCATTATTATTGTGACTCAAGCTAATATCCGTTATCGCTTTTATCGTAAATAGTGTAACCGTATACCTAAACTATTATTATAGACATCATATTGTTTTGTGCGACGTTCGACAATGTGACGATCGTAGACAAAGTGCTGTGCTTATTATATTTTATTTCTTATATTCTATTTGAATTGTATTTTTTAAATTAAATTTTTTAATTATGGAATTTATTAAATCTAATAAAAATAAACTTTTACTCGAGAATAATCGTTATATTTATAGAGAGGAAAAAACGTACAAGGAATCGAAGTATTGGAAATGTATAGATATGCAATGTAAAGGTCGATTAACAACTACTAGTGATAATAAAATTAAAAAAGAGCCTTCAGAGCATAACCACGTTCCAGATATATGCAAATTAGAAGTAAAAAAAGAAGTTGAGAGAATGAAATCCCGAGCACTATCGTCACAAGATAACCCTCAACAAATAATCGCTTCAACACAATTAAATCCAGTGATATCAGGTGCATTACCCGAAATATCTAATTTAAAATACTCGTTAAGAAGAGTACGCCAACGTAATGATTGTGCACCGTCGAATCCAAGTCACTTTTTAACCTTCAAATACCTGAAAGGTATACTTTAACTAAAGATGGAAGGCAATTCATGCAGTTTGATAGCGGCCCATCAGGTGAACGTATTTTAATATTTTTTACTAAAGAAAATCTAGAATTAATGGAAAAATTTAATTATTGGTTCGTTGATGGTACATTTAAGTGCACTCCAACACTCTTCACTCAAATTTTTACAATACATGTATTAACAACCAATTCGTTGATTCTTACTGTTTACGCTTTATTACCAAACAAATCACAAAAAACATATGTACACCTCCTTAATCAATTAAAAAAAATTAAATCAACTTTATCACCAAAATTAATTATGTCAGATTTTGAAATGGCATCAATTAATGCATTTAAAGAAGTATTTCCAAATGTTAAACAAAAAGGATGCCATTTCCATTTTTCCCAATGTATTTGGCGTAAAATACAACAAATTCAATATATGGCCCAAAAATATATATCAGATTCGACATTTTCATTACAGATACGGCTCTTATTAGCATTAGCATATACACCAGAAAATCATGTGATAGATGCGTTTGAAGAATTAATAGACTCACAATATTACACAGATAACGAAAACATTTTACAACCACTTATTGACTACTTTGAAGACACCTGGATAGGTCACCCAATGGGTCGAAGAAAGGGTCGTAGATTACCAAAGTATTCAATTAGTTTATGGAATCGTTACGTATCAAAAAGTACTTGATTTCCAAGGACTAACAATGCAGTAGAGGGTTGGCATAGAGGTTTCAGTTCATTACTTGGTTAGTATATAATTTATATTTTAATTCAATACAATTTATAATGTAATATAGATAAATATAGTACCATATCATAATATGTACCTAATATAGTAATTGAGTTAAAGAGTAGCAAATCAATGAACTGTTAAAGAGTATATTTGTGAAAATCACAATTCCGACATTGTATTCTTCTACAACTGAAACAGAAGTGCACTGTGAATATAGTGCATTAGGTTATGGGGTGATCATATTACAAATACAGAAAGCTGGAGTAATGCATCCGATATTATAATACAGCAAGTAGTGAAACTAAAGCTAGATAACATAAGTTACGAATTGCAATATTTAGCATTAGTGTATACAATAAAAYGTTTTTATGTTTACCTCAAAGGATTAGATGGAGATAAAAGGTAAAAGTCGACCATTCACAAAAAAGATTCGAACTCCAGAATATCAAGATTAGCTTTATTATTTCAAAACTATGATTTAAATATCGAACATCGTGCAGATGAAACATGTTGATGCTTTAAGAGGAGGCCACACCAGCAGGCATTTTATTATATTTTAATTTTTAAGCGAATTATGAGTATTTTAAAATTGTAAATTGTTTGTATACCTTTCTTAAAATGCTCATAACTTGGTTTAAAATAAAAATGTAATTAAAGTCTAAGAAGACCTAGATATAATGTAACCTTTAATTTTTATAACAGATCAATTTACTCTAAATTTTAAGCTAACGGAGCCAAACGTGATCTGCTGAGCGTAAAATTTGCTGTATTACGCACTTGTAAGACGGAGACTAAACATGCGGGATCAAGTCTTCTCAAATCTTAATATACAGGTTTTTCATAAGTGATTCATACTATCATACTGTTACCAAAAAATAATACGCTACACCCGTCGTCCTCTTAAGTCGAAACACCAATGTATTAATATTAACTGAAAATAATTTTTCACAAAAGTTGTCATTTAAAAAACTTGAGAATACAAATATAGATAAGTTAAAAAATGATTGATTAAATCATAGGGTAAATATTTTGAAATTAAAAATGATCTTGCTTATAGAAAAGACAAAAGTGAGCTATTTTATTATATCCCAAGTAGTAAGGAAGTAAATGCGATAAGATCTCCGCATAAGGAAATTTAATTTAAAATTGCTAAAAGATTCGAAATATAATACAAATTCCGCAAGGGCTGGCGTGAAGAAGGAAAGGCGACTAATTCGGTAGCTCAAGGTGCAACTTTTAGCGGGCACCGAAATTGCTTTTTAAAATTTTACACATTTTTGTAATATTTTTTTTTTTTTTTTAAATATAAAATACTCATAACTTAATACTCAAATATTGATAATCATGGTTATTTTATTTAGTCATAGAATATAAAAAATTTAGTTTATTTTAAGTATATTTACTACATGGTTTATTAACATAGAAAATTGATCGTATATTATGTAGCTCTACTATAAATATAAAAATTCCTGAAAAAAAATGTAATGCATTTATTTTTACATTATAACAGTTTATCTGACAATTCAAATCACTGGTTAATAGGTTAATTGTAAACATAACTTAAATCTCTAACAAGGTACTTTAGCAGAATGAAATAATAAGAAATTAAATAATATATATTTTACGACTGTCGAAAGCGGTTCGTGTTTTTGTGTATTTAGATCAATAAGTGAAAGAAAAACAAATATACTTCCAGAAGTCCAATTTTCATTTTCAGCAACTATTTGTTTTCGTACACTTCTGATATGTGTTTTTTTGGAAAACTTTTTTTTAATGCATTTAGTAAAACACAACACTAAGTAAAAAAGTCTAGGTCTAAGAACCTAGAGTATAAGAAATTCAGATGTTTTCAAAGTAAGAAACGGATTTTGGTTACCTAGTAGATGAATTTTTCTTACGCTAAGAATATTGATCTATTGTCTTTTATTAGTTTGTATCTAGGTATTTATATGTGCCTATTACATTTTACAGGGATATTCAAAATTATTAATACGATTCCTGACCTAGGTTACCAGATCTCACGCCACTTGATAAGTTTTTAAGTTATGTTTAAGATACTGTGTACATACCCCTTACTGCCATCAGCTCTAGATGAATTTATGAGATTTTTAGAGAATGCATAATTTAAATTCTTGTCTACAATGGTCATAATCTCTCGTTCCCCACAGGAATTAAACCGACGAGATACAACCCGTGCTACACAAATACATTAAAAACGMACTATATCTTTCAATCTACGCCGTATGCTAATTTAATGATTAACATCATCTCGGTATTAATTAGAAATCTTTCAAATTATTAATTTCTATCTTTATGGAAGATCTTGCTTCCATAATGAAAACCTTGGGTAACACTAAAATAACGCAAAACAAATTAATTCAATCCTTCAGTGAGCAAGGAAAAAAGATTACGAATTTTAACAACTGTTTTAATGATCTCTCAAATCAAATAAAAAATATATCAAATGAAAATGCTCAATTAAATGATTAAGTTTCTCAACTTGTACTTAAAATTAATAATCTTGAGAAAAAGCTTCATCTTCAAACTTAAATATTATTAATAAAATTGCATATAGACAATCGAGAACTAATAATATTAAAAAACAAAAGAAAATAAACATCTATCCCTAAGTTTTTTCATTCTTCATAATGTATGTATAATAAAAATTAATMAATTATTAATTATAAGAAAAATTATAATCATCCAAATACATAATTGTAAAAAATATTAACTTTATTGTGATTTTTAAAATTAAACACAATGTAAATAAAACCTATCTTCCCCTTTTTCATTACTTTATGGTCTCATTATCCGCGCAACTTTGGTAGAACGTAACCACCGCGTACAACAGGAGTTTACAGTATTTTATTTTAAAGAAATTAATCATTGAAATACTGTAAATAAGCAAAAATAGAATTCTACTAATAGTACTAAATGATCCTACCTTCAGTAGTTGCATCTTCATGATCGTTAAATGCCTTCTCAATGATTGACTCACATAGTGGAACACTAATGTCACTTACTATAGCATCTTTGTCATTAAAATTCTTTGTTGTATTATCCTCATTTTCAATTTGTACTTTCGATTTATTTACATTATCATCTACTAAACACATAAATAAAATTATAAAATTCGAAGTTCATAATATAAAACGCAATGATTTCAGAATCTAGATCCTCACTAGCTTTTGCTACATTACACAACACTACATAACTAGGGAAGAAAATCTAGCAAAAATAACTCTTTTTAACTGTGAAAAATTAAATAATTTTTTTTAATTTGATTTCACATTTTGTATCTATTTGATAATTCCTCTTTGATGAACTATCAACAAACTTTCTATATATCATAGTTTAGGTGAAAAGTTTAATAATAGACATTTTGGGACAATTCATTCCGATGTTTTTGTGGATTCAAATCGTTATACCGCTTGGGTGTGATCTCTCTCATTAATATTTTATATTAAAGCTAACTTAGTTACCCGCCTGCCACCAACTCATTATTACTGAGTTACAAATTCATTTTATTTTCCGATTAACACAAATTCTTGAAGTTTTTATAATTCAGAATTTTTCATTTCAATTACCATGCTTTGTTAAAAATCAAGAAAAAAGATTATAATTTGTATATTAAATTTATAGTTAAGAGATATTTCAAAACATTCTGATGTATAATAATACTTATAATACTAAGATGGAAGGAGTTAACTGTCTTCTATTAGTGAGGTTAAAACAATTTTTGCATTTATTATATTATTAGACTCGTACTTGTATCTGAGATTTAAATAGATGCATTTAATGGAAAAATAAATATTCTTTTTATCAAATACTATGAATCAAACAAAAATATAACATAAATAAACAAAATACCTTTACTATTTTTAATATGACTAATCTGCATATGAAAAGCTATATTATTTTTAAATTTAAAACATGTCTTAAACTTAGAATAAAATAATATAATTAATGCGAGACATTATATGAAGTCATTTTGATAAATTGYAAATTAGAAGTCAACTTAATAGGATTAGGAAACTTTCTTACAATATGTTAAAAATGTCTAATATTATTAATTATGTAAAAGTTGAAAAAAAATGTACGAAAATTCGGTTTTAACATCAAATTAAATAAAAAACTAAATTTAAAAAAAAATGTCTAATACATCTCATGAATAGTAAAATATTATTAATTGAATGATTTACTTTTTGTGCAGAATTTTCTTTAACCACTGATTTTATACACATATTTATTTATTAGTATTTCAACAAGCAGCTTAATATTCTTTTGTTTTAATAAAATTTATAATTTAAGGGGATACACAACACTTATGCTAGAATATAAACAACACTAATAGATACGTTAATAAATATCTTACCGTTCATATTTTTATTTTCATGATTATTAATTAACATAGTTTGTAAGGATGAACTATTAGAATTAGTTTGAATTAGTCTATTCAAATCAAAACTATTATTATCAGATGCAAGCTCTAAAAAATAAAAGTATAACAAATTTATTTATTTTGTATTTAATACTTATAATTAAAGACCAGATTCCTGTGCAATTACATTTTTTATGGGGTGTTCTAAATTCTACATAAACTAGCTAAAAATCCAAATCAAGAGCTGTAGATTAAATTAAATTAAAGAAACTTTTATGTTGCATAAAATTGGACGTTTTAAGTTTTTTTTTTATAAAAATATAYTAAATAGTACTTTCGTACAAATATTTTTGTATTATTTTTATCATTTCTATATTATGTTGTTATATGAAGTAATGAATTTCAATATAATTATATATAATTAAATATGACGTAATTAAAATAATGACAACTACTGTAATCGGTAGATTATCAATTACATATACACATACAGTCAGTGGCGTATTTTCAATTTTTTATGGGGGGTGTTGGCGCCCACAGGCAAATGATTTTTAAGATTCAAAAACAAAAATTTGGATCAAWTTATGGYATTAGWATACACAATGAAGACTGCACTATGAATTCTCAAGAAAAAC